CCTGTGGCTAGCTAGCAGTTTTGTTTTTCTTTGCTGTATTTGAGAAATTTAAGGCGTGAATAAAAGTGGTGCCAGACAGGACCAGGCAAAGCCTCAGAAAGGCGTGACTGCGGCTGCTTCATGGCTGGCACAGAACTGTTACCAAAACCTGAGCGCAGAGAGTGTTTTCTTCATTTCCTCTTTTCTTGTAATCTTTTTCGGTTCGGATTCATGAGATGTGTGCTACTGCAGCGTTTCTGGGCTGTGAGGATGGTTGTCAAATGTTAAACACAAGAAGTCCTTGTGAGGAAGAGAGTTGGAAGTAGCTAGAAAGCGTCTGTGTGATCTGTTGCACTCTTTTCTGAGAACGCTTGGAAAACTTACATTTTCTGGGCAAAGAGAATTACATCTCTGGAAGAGCTTTCTTCTCTCCCCCACCCTTCCCAGAGGATTTCCTATGGAGTTAATTCTTCTGATTGCTCAGCATTTGCTGTTTCAGCTCGTTTAGCACTTTTAATAACAACACCCTGCATCCAAATAATACTTGCTGTACAGTACTCTGCTAGCATGAACTATTCGGCAGTAATTGCATGCTAGTCTGGTCCAGACTAAGGTCAACAGTACAGAGACATAAGGGATCAATAGAAGCCAAAGAATTGTTGGCCGAGGGGAGAAGAGATATGCAGAATCCTTTAAGGTATTCTGGGCATCCTGCCATAAAATGTCAATGTTTCTGACACCAGTAATGTACCAAATAAAAGAGGAACATCAAGTGATCTGTGTGTGTGAGGGGTGGGGGGGGAACCTCCTGCATTAAAAAAATTACTGAGGGGCATCAGAGAACTGATATCTCTCTTAAATCCCTGCTGTGAGTTCACTTGAGTCAGTCTGCACATTTCAACGCAATGCAGCACGTCCACGTAGCAAGCACCAAAGGACGAGGTGGCCAGTACAAACATGGACCCCGGTGGCTTTTCCAGACAGATCCTGTTGTTCTAGGTATACTAAAGGTGTTGATGGACAGAAATGCGGACACTGCTAAAAATTACCTTTCAGTAACATAAGTTTACCTTTTAGTAGGTCTTCGCATCTGCAGTTTTATTAAAATGTCACTAGTGTACGCCTTGAAACCTCAGTTAGGAAATCCACAATAGAGTCACTTTGTATCAGCAAGCACAATGAGACACGCAGATCTGGAGAATCATCAGAGGAAGAGAGCAGCTTTTATCTGGTGTCTCCAGTCATCCTCCTCCCTCCACCTTAAAGCTGGGAACAATGAGATTGCTCCTGTATCTACTCTGCCTAATGAGTGAGTCTTATCTCTATATTTATTTTATATATATTAGAAAATAAAAGTCTTAGTCCGGAAACAAAGTAATTTCTGGAGACTCAGACTGGTCCTGTAATGTGAGAAAATAAAATTACTCTTATGTAGAAAGTTCAGGATGTCTGGACTTGTATGGAAAGTCCTTGGTTTGCGATGTATTTTTCTACTAGTTCAGAGAAATTAATGTATTCGAGGGGAGAGACTTTTACAGTGTTCATCCTTAGTGAGAGAAAGGCGGCTGCTTGGTGAAATTATACTCTCAAATACAAAGCTAACAAGCTATGTTTGGCCTTTTATAGTTTTTTATTTATTTGTCTGTTTGCTTATAGTGAAGTAGGCGAGAGTAGAATGCAGGTGAGGTTTATATTCTTCCCTTTCTAGTGTCATTTTAGATACACCTTGGATTCAGCAGTAGGTGCTTTCAGAGGTACATTCCCCGCAAGTTTTTGGCTTGTTGATCTCTTAACAAGAGCTCTAGAACATGTGGGATTTTTTAAAAGAAAATTCAGAAGACCTTTATTTGGGAGTAAGTTTGTGTAAAGTAAAGCATAGGTATGGGTTAGAAGGAATGTTTCCCGAGTCGGAGTCTGTATCGATGTCACTCTGTCCTGTAGCCTCGTGGGGAGAGTTCTGTCATGAATTTGGCTTTTAGCTGCCCAGAAAGGGCAAGGCCCTGGCACTGCCCCTCCATGAGCTCAAGCGGTGGACAACTGCATTGGGGATGTTACTGGCCACTGTTCTAGCAGCTCCACAAATAAACGCTAGTTTCATTCCGCATAATAGAATTTCTGTTTGTTGGTTCCCTTTTCAAAAGACTCAATACTGTATGTGCCTACTCCATCTATACAGAAAGAATATTATTCTTTAAGTATTCATTTTGTGCCCCCACAGACCTCCTGGCAAGCTTTACGCTTCCAGTGTGTTTGGGAAAAAAATGTTATTAATTTTATTCTTTTAATGACATGCCCATCAAAGTTCTCTGCAGCTTGCTTTGCTGTGATTTGAGATTTAACATCAAGATTTATGCTCTCCTGCTTTCCTTATTTGGATTTGACTTCTACGTGTTGTATGATGATGTATTATTTCTGCTAATATCTTTCTTCTCACGTTTGCCATTACACTAGGTAACTTCCAGCTTTGTAAACATAAATCCTTAATGGATATTCCCACTGAAGTTTCTGATATTTTTTTAAATCTTGACCTTTCTTGATATGGTTTATGTAAAAATGAGGTGAAATCATTGATGGAGGCTTCTACCCTTATGTGCTTCTGTAGATCTTTTCTATTGCTCTTCTCTGGCAACTTTTTTTTTCAGTTGTGGGTTTTACTGATGAAGAAGGTAGTGTAGAAAAATGCAGTTGTCCGACCTGGTGGGTCTCGGTTACGTTCTTAGAATGAATCTGATGTAAACTGTCTGTATAGTTGGCTAATCTGCAACAGACATCTGGGTTTTTTTTCCCCTCAGTTTAAGCATAGCGCACTTAATTTCAGTAACTGAAGTGCTAACCCCCCCCTGAGTCATCTGTGTTGGAAATCCCTGTGAGCAGGGAGTCAGGAGCAAAAAATTCAAATAACTTGGCTTTGCAGAGTGCCGGCAGCAGAACTGAGCGCGGAGCTGAGGAGCCTCTGGTTCCCAGGCCAAGCGCACAGGAAAATTCATAAGAGTGATGTTAGCTCCCTGGCCATGTTTGCTCCTTTTTTTTTTTTGCCTGCTTGAGAACTGTCCCTTACTTCAAAGATGGCTGAACTTTGTTCCAGCATATTTGGAATTCTGGTTTTGTTTTAACGAAGTTTGCTGGAAGCCTTTGGAAACGTGTGGTATTGTTAGGCTGATATTCTTGCAGTGGAAACATAGACAGATGCCTAGGAGCATCTCCAAGTTAATTTGGGTCTTTTCACTGGTGAAGTGGGATTTGCAAAACAAGGCAGTAGTTCAGCACGGTCTGCCTACGCTCTGAAAGGGATGCGTGCCGTGTGCCTGAAGTACGGGGCGTTTCAGGAAGCAGAAGCAAAGACTAAAATTTCATGCTGTCTGCACAATTCACATCATTGCTCTTCTTTCACCTGTGCTTTCATAGACAGGCTGGGAAATGACATGGAATTGATTTTACTCAGATTCAGCTCTGAGTAAAATTGGAATGAGGAAAGACTCTAGGTGGACACTAGGCCAGAATTTAAGCCCTTGTTAGTACTTCAGTGGTTATATTAAACTGTTAGGCTGCGCGTTTAATGCAGGCTCAGCCTACAGCTTCTTAAGTTGGAGTCTGGGCGTTCAGAGCAGAGATTTTGGGCCGGAGTAATTTGTAAAATTCAGATTTCGTACTTTTCTTTTGTTCTAGTTTCAAACAGGGACAGAGTTTGTAATCGGAGTCACTTGGGCTTGTTCATGAGATTAGTGTGAAGTTTTCAAAGTTGTTGTGCGATTGACAGAGGTTTGGTTATCCAGTACAGCTCAGTGCTTGCATTTACAGCATTTATCATAGTAGCTTGCTTTTCTTGCATCCTACTTTGTGACGTTTTCAGCCTGTCACTTAGAGTCAAATATGTTTATCTTCCCAGCCTGTGCATTTACTGAAGTGTTAACACACTTACAGAAGTCAAGAGCTGAGGTGTGAACAACAATAAGGGTTGGCTTGCCACAGAGGCTTACAGCTAAAACACCAGTGTCAGCCCCTTTTTTGTGGGCTTCCTTGCAATAAAGCGGTGCCTTCATGAAAAAAAAGAAGTTACCTTTAGGATGCAAATTCAGTTACAGCTCTGTGAATAATGGGTAGAAGTTTTTTTTTGTTTGATGGCTGTTTTATATGTATTTTGAGATGTTATTTGACTTCTAGCAGACCTGCATCCTCATCAGGGTATCCATCACATTTGACACCAATTTACTCCCTGCTGCCAAGCTTTGAGCTTTCAGTTAACATCCCACAAAATCTATGTTCTCCTCTTCTTACCAGGTTTATGGCAATGCTATTCTTGTAGGGAACAATCGCTGCTGCTACCTAAACTGCTTATTCTTTAATCTAATAGGTTTTGGTGTCCTGGTCTGTTGAATATCAGCTTTACAAGAAGCGAATCCACTGGTTCCCCCCTGAAGTGTCATGCCACTTGCACAAGCCCTGGAGTTTTGTTTCTTCTCCTGCCTAAAGGCAGGCTTGTGAGCTTCAGCTAGTAGGAGTGTTTTGTGATACGCAAGATGGGCTGTCATAACAGAACAACAGGACTTGCGTTATTTTGTTTTTCATTAGGCTGGGCAAGAAGATCCTTTGTTAATCTAAATCGGTGAAATCTCCATAGCTTGGTATCTCCCTCCTGCCAAGTGCTTCTGCTGGCCTGGTGGGCAGGATTCAAGGACAGCTGGCTCAAGAGCCTATTAACTATGACTCTACAGATCACAGTCTGCTCTCATCTATTTATTTGTTTTCAGTGGTCAAGTCCATGAGGAGCTTTAATGTTGACACTGGCAAGACGTGGATCACACCACACACAGCCTCTTTGTTGTGGCCCACGGTTCTTCAGCACTCGGATGGGAACACAACCATGTAAGGAACAGAAGAAAGAAAAATGTACTCAGACTTCCCAGGTCTTTATTAATGCACGTGGCCCGAGGTCAGATAGCTTCTTGCTTTCTACAACTGTTAGCACAGGGTCCTCTGCCTGGGACCCAGAATCGTTCCTCAGTTCTCAGAGGTAATGAGGAATGCTAGAGCTTCGTTGGTGTGAGGTGTACATTGTCAGCCCGTGAGTCTTCACGATGCTTCTCACTTCACCCACAGCTAAGTCGTGGCACTGTGCAGAAAGGATGTCTGCTCATTTGACCAAATGGCAGAAACAAGCAGTGGGTTTTTTGCAGTACTTCCTGGCATACCACACTGTTTCTGGGGCTGCAGGAGTCACAGCACCCACCAGCTGTCAAGAGTTATGTTACTGGCTTGGTCTGAAGACCATAAAGAGCTGGAAACTGCTGTATTTTGACTACTGGGTCTGTAGGGGAAGAGCAATGAATGGCTAGGCTGGTGATTAGGAGACAACCACAAGTGGTTGCTATAGAGATAACCTATATTATGCTGAGCAGATTGCTCAGGCTGTGTAGCAGACACCATATTTTACGTTTTGGAGTAAAGAAACTTTTCTACCCCCTGAGCAGAAATTGGCTGACTCGGAGAACAATCTCCATTTCATAGAGCAGTGCTGCCCTTTCCCAGTATGGTGGTTGGACTTTCTCGCTGCACCTCAGGCCTCCCTTTACCTCCAGTATTTTATAGGCAGGTCGCTTCCAGACCTCTTCTTTGGTCTGGGATAACTCTCTTGATTTCATAGCTCAGAAAATGGGAAGGATGATGATTTTCAGGAGAAAATAAGCATTTTCCTTTTAGTGGCTGATTGAGCTCAAACCCACACTGGAGTCCAGTTAATTAAGAGATGTTGTCAGAATAACGGGTGGCCACCCAGGCACACAGATGATTGTTTTGCACTGTGCTGCCCAAGGACTCTGCCTGATTGTGTCACCTTCCCTATTTTCGACCTTTTTTCTCATTCTACAGGATTTTGGCTACTTCCTCAGCAGACAAGGGGCTGGGCAGGCTGAGGAAGTGCACTGTTTTGCAGGAGGAGATCCAATGCCAGGAGATACCTCTGCGAGGTACAGTCCCGCATCCCCTTCCCAGTGCTTGCTTTGCCGTGGACACGAGGGTGTGCAGAGGCTGGGTGTTTCAGAAAGAACCGGGCATGCTGCTGGGTCCCACAGATCAGCACTTCATGGAGAAAAATGCAAACCCACGGTCCCAGTGGTTGGGAGTGATGTGTCTGGAGGCTGCCAGACCTCTTCTGCCACAGATTAAATCTTCACCTAAACTTTGCTGAAATACAAGGCAAAGTTTTTTGTTTCAAATATGTTCACTACTGCTACAGTTGCTGATAACATTAACTTGGAGTCCTCCTAGAAGAGCAGGTACAGCTGACCTTAGTAGTAGTAGCCTTTCTCTATATTTATTCTGTCTGCCCAAGGCTGACAAGCACCATATCCATTTCAGTTTTGTTCTCCTTCATTCATGCAATTGCTCGTTCAATTTCAGGAAAGATTAAAAGCTCCAAAAACATCCAGGATGGTGGCATAGCTATTGGCAGGAATTCAGACTGGATTCTGGTAAGGGACTGAAAATATCTGTGGTTGGGAATGACTGTATTTTTCTAAAATGCTGTATATACATTTTTGCTGGAAATTGCAAATGCACAGACATAACAGAAGGACAAAGGCTGAAAGCTGCTGGCTGGACCCTGGCTGGTTGGAAAGCCAGCTGGTGCATTGCCAGCCAGGAGGGAAAACTGAGAAGGGCCCTTCTCATCAGCTGAGGACTGCAGTGGACCTTGCGCCTCCCTGCAGTCACCCCCACTCATAGGGAAAGGGAGAACTGGCAGAGGAGGCTTAGGAGAGCCATCAATGTGGAGGCTAACCCCTCAGGATGGTGAGCCCTCCAGCCGCACTCTGCTTCAGCGCAGGGCTGAAGTCCTGGGTAACCTGCTGCAGCAGCGGTCACATCAGGGAAGGTCCTGTTTTACTCTCACTAGGAGGTTTTCAGTGCTGTACAGGGGATGCTGAATGCTCATCAGATGGCATCTTCAGTCACCCTCTGTCTACGGCTTTGCTCATCATTCATTGGCCTTCCCCGCCCTCCCCACAGGCTTGCCTGCAGAAGAAGCACCGTCGAGCCTTCACCACTACTGAGGACATGAATGGAGTCTGTACTCTGCTCACCCCCGACTTGCGCAGCACAGTGTTCCTCAACCTCACCAAGATGGGTATAGGAGCAAAGCCAATACTGTGCGTTTGCGGAGGGACAGAAATAACAGCACAATGCTCTGCTCTAGCAGCAAGGGCCTTCTGAGTTCCTAACCAGCAAGGTCTATGGCCCACTGTGAGAGACTAAAAACAGTTTTGACAAGTATTATACTGACTTCAACAGGGTTACAAGTTTCAGTCTTGAAGACTAGCACACAGCAGCAGGGGTTTTCTGTTGTGGTGTCCTGTGCATCCAAAAGATCCAGCTCTTAAGCCAGAATTTAGAAAAGCATCAACATTGTTAGTGGACACGTGACAAAATCCACTGGGATTTTTAAAATGCCTGGGCATTCAAAGCTGTTGCTTCCCACTTAAACTGGGCTATTGGGCATTTAATCAGGGGAGCAGAGAGCTGGTCTGATTGTCTAGCCTTGCTCTGCTGCTTGCAGTCACTGCAAAGAAGCAAAGTTTAAATTTGACACCTAGATGGTCTCATTCCATCTTCAGTTGTCTAACTGCTGTTAACAGCCTGATCCTCAGGTCTTCTGTGAGTTGGGGAAGCTGGGTGGAAACAGATCCTGAGTTTCAGGTGCGTTAATAAGAGTATTTTCAAAAAGTAAAGTGTATTTTTTTCTTACTTTTAAAATTCTCTAGTTGAGACCAAATTAAACAGCATTCCAAGTGAAAACAGCAGAGGCAAGATTACTGACACCAGCAGCTCTGTCGGCACAGGCAGCACCAGCAGTGCTTGCGGTGAGCTCTTCAGCAGCGCGGGGAGCAACCACATGTGCAAAGGTAGGTACAGGACATGAACAAGCATTGCTTCCTTCTGCATTAGCTGAGTTTGAAGCAGCTTGCATTCATCTGATGAGAGCGAGCTTGGGAGGGAGAAGGTTGAGGTTTTGAAGGTTATTCGTAATGGCAAATTTCAGTCATTATTGCAGTCTTCATTCACTGAGATTTTTAAAAAATAAAACCTGTCACTACAGCGAAGACCACATCGTCAGCTAGACCTGCTTTCAGAATGGCTGGATGGTGCTGGTGCTGTAGTCAAATTTTTGGTTGTTTAATAATATGTCAATGTTCTTGAACCTTTGCTAAATGTCAGGTTGTTTAGGTGTCCCTTCAGTTGTCCTCTTAAATTTAACTGTATTGACAGAACTGGGAGCAGAGGTTGCTGTCATCCTGGGTGGATCAGAGAACACCAAGCCAGATGATTTCCAAAATGCCAAGACATCTATCCTCAATATGATGAAGTCAATGTGGCAGAAATGCTCGAAGGTGTGTGAACCTCCTCAGAGTCTCATCATCTGACAGGCAGGATGGATCAGAGCTCTAATGAAGAATGGAAAGTCTCCTGGTTCACATAATTATTGCTTTTTAAACTTTACAGTGATGCTGGTAATAATACTACATAGTCTAGTGCAAGAGTTAAATGTTAGTGAGCCAAGGAGGAGGCACAGCTGAAGAGGGAAGTGGAAGAGCTGGGAGTGGGTTTTCGTGCCAGAAGCACACAAATCTCTCGGAGCACCTTGAAACAGTACGCACAAAAATAACGACTGAGGTTTATAAGCCATTACTTTAAATGATTTAAATAAATCTGGGGACAAAGTGAGGCTGAGCCATGTTGTCACAAAAGGTCTAGCAAGATACAGGAAACTCAGGCAGAGAAATCATTGTCATGAGCCAAACAAAATGAAGTCAGTTCCTGGAGCTGATCCAGAAGGGATCACCAGAATACAAATGGGTGATGGAGACAGAGGGATAAAGACAGTTGATCTACCTGTTACTTGCAATATATGCTTTCTGTGTTTGTGCAGTAAATTTTTTGACTAAAGTTGATACTCTGAGGGACTTAGGGATCCTGCCCTAGATCTTGTCTAACCAGCTCTAGCTTTTCCACCTGCTTTCTCCAGATCAGGTTTGCTGTGGTGCAGCATGGAGCACAGATCCAAACAGAACTGAGTCTGCAAGAAAGCTGCGACAGACTATCTGCTTTCTTCAAAGTCCTAAACATCAAGCAGCAGAGCTCACAGACTGACATTGCAGGAACACTACAGCACGTGTTGTGAGTTCACGTGTCTCAAGAAGCTCTGGAACATTCAAGTGATTGCTTGTGTTTTTTGTGCATCAATCCAGCCCCCTGCGCCTCCTCTCTTCTTTATCTCATACTCTTGAAGCTCTCATCTTTCCAATATTCCTCTTAGTGACAGGCTCTGCCAGCTGAGGCCTGTGAATGGGTCTGTCTTGGGGACCATCAGGTCAACAAGGAGAAATATCCGAAAGGCAAAGTGTGAAATCCTTCCTGGCTGACACAGGGGCTTCAGAATGAATATTTAGTCACTTAGGTCTTGCTTTAAGCATGTGTTCTTTTGTAGACCCAAGGCCTTTCCCATGTTTTTTCACTGATATCTGATTCTGCTGCATCTCTGGGAGTCATGCTTTCCCTCTTGACTCCATTTCCTTCTCAGTAACATGAGTCTAACAATATTGACCCGCACTGTAAAAATGCCCTGTATGCTACTTGTGAAAGTGCTTGTGAAGTCAGAGCTACCAGTTGTGGACACCCAATATCCCTGGAAAGCATAAATCCTTGTGCATGTTTGCCTTGCACATCTGTACTCTTGTGGGCTGAGAGCTCAATGAACGTCAGCACCCTGCTACTAACTCTGGCATTTCTAGCTTTGCAGATGTGGATTGTCCCGTGAAATATCTCTCAACTTCTGTTTCCACAGGGATAAAGTCTTTGATACAAGCCGTGGCTCCAGCCAGACTGATGACAAGATAATCATTGTCATGGCATCTGGGCAAGTGTTTTTGGAAAACCAAAGATTGAGAAGCGTGATGAACTCTCTGGAAATGGCTATGGTCAAACTCTATGCTCCTAGGGTGAGTGGGAAGCACCGTCAAAGCCACACTTTTTTGCATCAGAACACATACCTCAAGGAGTGATATTTCTGTCCATCCCATGTGTCTGCTCTTATGCTTTAGCAGTGGGTGGAAGAAAAAGTAGTCATGCATTAGACATGCAGGATGTCCAATCTGAGATGCCCTGACTCCCTGCATTGACTCAGGCCTCCATCTTCTTGATCCCAGAGAGCTGATTTTGGATGAGGTTAAGGAATACATCCTACAAACAAAGATGCTTAAGTTGTGTATGTCTTGTGACTCTAGAGGTTTTATTAGTTTGTTGGGTTTTTTTGCAAATAAGGGATTTCTGTGGAATCTAGGATCAGGGTTGCTTTACCAGGATTTCAGAAAACTCTATCCCTTTTCAGGGCTTTCAAGTTTTTACTGGCAGTTTGGGAATTTGTTGGTTTTTTTGTCTGTGTATGAAACATCTTCAATCTCTTCACCTGATGGCTTTTCTGTCTAGATTGGAGAGTTCATTAGCAACCAGTGGGTCCCAGAAGAGTTGCAGAAAGTTGGAAGTGACTGGTTTGTGCTGTCCACATATGAAGATTTTGACAGTTTCCTTTCAGAGTTGGAGAGAGAGACTCTGAGTGATGCAGGTAGAAGAAATCTGACACCTGGCACATATGTCTTCTCTGTAACTTATAGAGTGGATCTGTGATGGTGGGTAGTTTCATTGTTCAAGGAATGTAGATACATCTCCAGATCTTAGCCTGTTCTTCTAGTCACTTGCACAGCAACATCAAAACAAATAAAAGTGATTCCTGTTACATTAGTTAGGACTCCTCCTCAGCCAACCCACTGGGAGGACAAGAGATCATATTCTGTATCTGTGACCTGCAGCCGTAACATCAGTACAACAAGACAGATGGGCTGCAACTGGGCCTTTACAATACGCACAATCACCACATGTTCAGTGTTTCTGTTGTGATATGCTTCTGGGTGTGCTCAGAGCAGTTTGTTTCTGTTCAACTGTAGCTCTATTTTTAAGATGGAGTCCTGATTCCCACAGCCTTCAAAACTCACAAATATTTCCATAGCACCTGTAGTCTTGTGCCTGAAAGCAATATTGACTGCAGGAACGAGGAAGAGTTCAGCTGTCAGGCAGCAAGGCGCAGGAAGACTGCGTAGGCAATAACGCAAGGTTTTTGTTCACCTTTTGCTTTCTCTCCTACTGCCCTGTCATCTGTGCTCAAACTTGTTTCCTGTTGCAGCTGCAAATATTCCAACTGAAGCACCAGAGCACAGAAACGCTGATGACAGCGGTGACAGCAAGCTCCCTTCCTGGGTGGAGGAGGACAAAGAGGAGGAGGAGGAAAATGACTTGCGTACGTGGTGAAGTTTTTTTTGGCAGAATTGTGCCATGGACTGTCATGGACTGACAAAGTCTGGGGGATTGCTGTACCGTGAGCTGTCAGACCTGAGCTGTAGCTTACGCTGAAATGACAGCTGAGCAGTCTTGGTGCAGTTCAGTTGCTTGTTTGAGTGAGATTACTTGTGCATTGATCGATAACACTGGATAAAGAACTTGGTCCTGACAAAGACTGCTGATTGCCTTCTCCTCATTCCTTTACTTTTCATATCCTGGGCAGCTTCTGGGAGAGAGATTGCTTTTATTCTGGATGGATCGGGGAGCATTGAGCCAGAGGATTTTGAAAGAGCAAAAGCATTCATCCACAAGATGATGAAAACACTGTATGAGAAGTGCTTTGAGGTACTCTCTACTCTCTTTCTTTAGCAGGCTAAAGAATGTGCTGTGCTTTATTTAAGCTGCCTCTTCACCAGAATTTGGGACTATGCAGGTTTGTTTCCATTAGGATGGAAAAGCATTTCCACAACTTGCATGTATTCTCGACATAATTTTGCTTACGTCTTAGCAGTACGTTCCCAGTCTTGATCCCAAGAACACTGTAGATATAAAAAGTTGGATTTGTATGCTCAGAAATCCCTAGCTCTGCTACGCTGCCATGCTTGGAGCCCAGGGAGCACCATGTCTGCTTTCTTGTAAGGTGACAGTCATGACTTTCTTCTGGTTTCCTGTCCCTATTCCTGTATTGTAATCGGTACCTGCAATCACAGAAGTGCCAGTCAGACTGGCTCTTCAGCCATGCATCTTACCAGTCTCCAGTCACGTATTCTGCATGAAGGAACTCTACTGCTTTCTCCGCTGAGGCTGAGAAGTGTGATCCACATACCAGCTTTAGAAAAGCTTCTAACTCTCAAATGCTCCAAGCATCAGCATATTTCAACTTGTTCTTTGCATAGCAGAAGGAAGAAACGTTATGTTATGTGTAGTGCAAATACAAAATGCAGAAATGGTCCCATTATCCAGACTGTCTTTGATAATCAGATCATCATGGAACGGGAGTATTCTAAGTAAAGATAATGGGAAGCAGGGAGCAATGAAGGAACAATTCAGTAATGTCACAGATATTACCGTGTGCAACCTGCACGTGAGCCAAACACAGCAGGAAAATGCAAGGACTTAAAAACAAATCACTGTTTCCCAAAACAATTTTTCTTTTGGTACTGGTAGTGGTTTCATTTTCCTCAGCTATAATATACTTACAACGATCTCTTGTGTCTGCACTAGACATATTTAAAAGCCACTTTCTCCTGAAAAAATTTTCCTTTCTGCGTAGTCTGGCTAATGTTTCTGTTTGGATTTTTGAGCTAATTGTTGCAGAGAACCCTTTTTCTCTGAATCCACAGTTGTCACAAGCCAAGTGCTTATCTATTCTTTCCTTCCAGTGCAATTTTGCAGTGGTACAGTACGGATTTGAAATCAGAACTGAGTTCGACCTGCGAGAAAACTGGGATCCTCGTGCCACCCTCCAGAAAGTACTTGATATCGTGCAGGTTTGCAACGTGACAAAAACAGCATCTGCCATGCAGCATGTGCTGTAAGTAACAAAGAAAAGAGCACAAGACATTAAGGAGATGAATTTCTGGGGCGTTTCAGGAGTAAGGAAGAGGGACTTCTATGGACATTCAGGTCATGAAAGCAGTCATTTATCTGGCAATGGTTGAATGGCAGGCTGCACTACCGGTGGCATGGTTCAGAGCGTTATAAAAGCTAGCTGTCAGTGCCTAATTCTTGGTGTGGGGGTGCTCAGGAAGCAATATAAAGGCAGGCAGCACTTGGTATTTTTAATATGTGTGAATATGAAAGAAACTGTCTTGCCTCTTTGCTGTGACTGTTAGCTGCAAGCGCATAGTTCAACAAGTCTCTTCCTTCTATCCCAAAGAGGGAAGCTTAAACTCAAGACTCTTCCCTCTATCCCATGGAGGGAAGCTTCAGCTTTCATCCAAGTTCTTTGTTTTAATGTTTTACCAGGGATTCTGTCTTCACTGAAAGTCACGGGTCCCGCAAGGATGCAGCCAAGGTCATGATTGTGCTCACAGATGGGGAAATACTCCTGGATGAAATGAACTTGACAACAGTGATAAATTCACCCAAAATGGCAGGAATTGAGCGTTATGCCATTGGGGTAAGTTGGGAATGTACTTGCATTGTATCTTCCTTCCATTTCTTGGCAGCACTGGGGACAGAGAAAAGGAGAAACTGATCCATGCGTGGTTCCAGTAAATAAGGGAAGAGACATGTATAAAACAAGGAGGTGAAAGAGAAAGTTATGTTATGAACTGGTACTATAATCTGTGTAGCATCTATTACATGCCCTAGTTTGTTCCTTCTGCCACCGACCACATTCAGTGCCCTGTATCCACTTACTCTCAGACTTTTCAGAACAGAGTAGTGCTTTCAGTAGATCAGACCGTCTCGTTCTTCCTTGTACAAGGTTTAGAAAAATCTTTCTAGAATACTGAATCTAGCAAAGTACTTAACCTTAGTCAAGTCTAGCTCCACAAAGTGTGATTTATGTTTCCTTATCCAGGCTATTCTGGAAAATTTCAACGTGATAAATATAAATGAAAAGGTTTTCTGACCTACCCACCCAAGGACAAAATAGCAGAACCGAGGAATCATTGGTCAGTGCTTGCTAGCGATCGCAGTCCTCCTGACTGAGGACGAGGCCAAGAATTTAAAGCTACCTTCTAGATGAAGTGCATGCTTAAAATTTTAAGTTTTTCAGAACAAAACTTCTGATATATTCTTAACTTGGCTAGCAAGTTAGCCTCTTTGTGTGTTTTTCAACAAGGCTTTGTCCTGAAGTCTGAATTTTGGTTTCAGACATGCTATATATGTCCTCAGATAATCTTTCTGCTATCTCTTTTTATTCTTTCAGAACAGGAAAACATTCAATTTTATGATGTCTTGTAACTTGTTGATTTCCAAAATTAATTCTTGGGTGCAACAATGGTATATACACAGAACACGGCGCCAGCCAGTTACGTGAAGAGGTTTTGTGAAGGTTTGGCTCCAGGAGACACTGAGCCTGTCCAATTAATTGACTGCCAAACCAATTGCTATTTCTGAGTTTACACATAGTGGCTGAAGCTGAGGTTTTTACCACAAACTGTTGAATGAAGTAGGTGGGGTAAGGAGACTCTAAAGGCTGCTTCTTTTGATTGATTTGCGTCCCTTCTGCAGGTGGGAGATGCCTTCAAAAAACCAAAGGCCCTAAATGAATTGCGGCTAATTGCTTCTGGTCCAGATGACACTAATGTATTTCAGGTGACCAATTATTCAGCATTAGATGGGCTGCTTTCAACCCTGCAGCAAAGTATTATTGGTATAGAAGGTAAACAGCAACCTTTCTATTTCTTTAGTACCTTTTGAGAGATAAGGAGAAAGTGGCTTACCCTGTTTCTGTTGCATCCTCAGGTACACAGGGTGATGCTCTGGAATATGAGCTTGCACAAGCTGGTTTCAGTGTGCAGATCCTGGATAAGGTAAATGTTCTGCATTTAACCCTGCTAAACGGTTGTATGCTGTGCTGCTGCTTCAATACTTGTAAGGATTCAGGAGGTGTCCCACAAGAAAAGATGGTGGTACCCAAGTGTGAGGCCCAACTAGTCAAATCTCCTTTGCAAGCCACTGCTTGCTTTGAATGTGTCAGATAAGCAAAAATACCACTTCTATATAGTCAGACAGTAGTGAATTTTATTTTAAGATGGTATTTATCTCGTGTGACTCCTGTTCTACTACTGGATCCTTTTTATTCCACTGGGCAAAAGAGCTGTCTCCAGTTGACAGCTTTGATTTTGCTGGCATCCACGTTTCTAATGCACAAGTCAGGGGTTCCATCATGTTGCAGATAAAATAATTCTGCTCTTTCAGAATCCTCTGGCTTAAAACCTTGGTCCATCCAGACAAGAATGATCTCTGTCCTTGTCGGGAGTGGGAAATAGTGGATGCTGAGGAAGCTAATGAACATTCGGCAGCCTTGGCTGCAAGGACAACACTGATCCAGTTTTGCGAAGTGCCTCATGTAGTGAGTGGGGAGATGGGCAGCTGTTCTCTGATGCTGAGCAGTCACCTTGTCTGTCCTCAATATCTGGCAGGAGCTGGTAGAACTGCCCAAGCTATGGGGTCCAGGAAAGAGTAGCAGGACTCATAAGCCAGAAAACATTGCTCCTTACTAAACTGCTCTGCAGAGTGCTAGAGGCAATTGTGCCGTGTTCATCTCTTCTAATTTGCAGTATGTTACTTCTGCAGCAAGTCTTAATGTTTGGTGCGGTGGGGGCCTTTGACTGGTCTGGTGGAATTCTGCTGTATGATCTGGCAACCAAGACGGCTGTTTTTCTGAATGAATCTAAAGAAGCAGCTGAAAAAGCAAAATACAGCTACCTAGGTAATCAGTTTACCCTTCTCTCTCAAATGACAGCCTGACAGCAGTTTTGCTTAGTTTGTGTTTAGTGCAGCATGATGACACTGACAGGATTTACCTGAAGAAGGCCACCCCCTGCAGCGTCTTACTGGATTTTTAATATTTTCTCTAGCAAGGAAAGAGATTCTCATGAAAACACTCTCTGTCTCCTTTTTTGGGGGAATATACGACTTGTTTTCTCTGATGAGTTATGATGCCTTGTGGTATTATTAACACATACAATTTGGTTTCACTGTGTAAGAATACTTGCAATGAAGGGCATTTTTGAGAGCTGATAAAGAAAATATTTCCCTTTTTGTGAGTGTCTAGAGAAGAAATAGCTTGTGAATCATTATTGTTCTTGGCTTGCTGACAAATAAAGCCTTGCTTATTCACCCCAGTGCTTTGTAGCCTCATGAGCCCTGTATCTGCCGACTCTAGCCTTGGCTACAAAGACTTACCAGGTAATGTGAGGTGCTGTGGACTGCTTGTGCTAGCATAATCCTTCTCCCATTACCTCCCTCTTACAGAAGCTCCATAACAGATCTCTTTTTGCTTTCTATAGAGTATAGTTTTTCCTTCACTTCTCTGAAGGGTCATAAACCTTCCAGCTTGCAGATATAATAATTAAAAAAAAAAAAGTGTGTATGTTGGATAATCACTCAGGAAGTATGGCAAATGCTGAGAAAAGTCATAAAGAGTTCAAGCATATTTTTTCAGAGCAGTAATTTATTCAATTACTCTACAGGCTGCTAAGAGATGAAAACCTCAGCTTTGCTGGCTTTTCTCTCAGAACAGTTACCTGCTATTTCCTAATCAATATTTTTATGATATGTTCTGTAATCAAAACCGTGGGCCACAACAACTAGACATGGTGGGAACTCTTGGATCTCATCGAATACGTAGGTCTATGTCTCAGACCAAACTTTGAGGGCTTTTTCCTTCAGGCATAGAGTATGGCAGTGATAATGTATGCTATTTTTGCTTCTTATGCGAATGCACCAGCGTACAGTGTGGCAGTGGTACGCACAGAATATGGACCCTTGTACGTGGCTGGAGCTCCACGGCACAGCATGAGAGGGAAGGTGTTGGTGTTTCAGGACGGCCGCTTAAAACAAACCCTGCAAGGAGAACAGGTACAGTGCCTCGCTCACCTGGGCCAGTCCGCTCGGGGGGGGGGGGTGTGTGTGTGTCAGGTGGGCTGCACGCCTCTCCTTCACTCAAACAGCAGCTGCGTTTTCTCCTCCAAACACACTTACACTCTTACACAAGCATCTGATTTAGCTAGATGTGGATTACGCAGTCTGTTCACTCCATAATGCTTTGGGAACATCAGAAAAAATCATGAAATTTGGACAAAGACTGGGAAAAAATGTAGGTAAACGAAGTGTACTATATTTATGTTCTGTTCTCATGGTTCATGGGGTAAGATTTTGTCAACTGTGGTATTCTTTTTCCTCTGTCAAACTGTTGAGTAATGATTTTGTTACTGCTAAACTGGTTACAGGATCTGTCCCCAAGGATGGCTGTAATAAAATAAATAATAGGAAATGATCCACATATAAGTAGATATGTGATGCTTTGTTCTAAAAATTGCCTTACTGCTGCAAAGGACACCAATTCTACACAGCTATATATAGAGAATTCCAGTGAAAGAGCTGCTTGTCTTTTTCTGGAGCACAGGTTGGATCTTATTTTGGATCTGAGCTCTGCCCACTTGATGTGAACCATGATGGGGTGACAGATCTTCTCCTTGTTGGAGCTCCGTTTTATCACATTCAGGGGGAAGAAGGAAGAGTTTACGTATATCGCCTGGAGACAGAGGTAAAAACACTGGTAGCGTAAACACTCCGTGTTGGGGATTTTCCAACCATGCCTAAGTAGTGACAAATAAAACATTCCTCCTTTGTGCTCTCACTGAATGTGCTCTCCCTGTATGGTAGAGGACTGCAGGATGAAGCCAGAGGTCCTCTCTTAGTCGTTAGAATATAAAAGAGAAATAACTAAAGAAATAAAACCGTTCTGTAGCTAAGGTATATTCTTACCACAATGTGATAAAATCATGTCTTCTTCATCTACATAGGCAACTTGTTGGTGCAGAGCTTGCTCTGCAAGCAGTGTTCTTTGCAGTGCTTGCAGTAAACGTGTGCATGGGTAGCTGCGAAAACTTTGCTTCCCAGGACCTGCAGAAAACAAAATGTTTTGTAGGCCCAGCTACAGGATCCGTTACACAATATACAGAATATAAGTTATAAGTTAATTGCGTCATTTTGAATGACAAGTGAAATTCAACAGCAGACCAGGAGAAAACCCTCTTCCGTACGCTGCTAAAAGTTGCTCAGGGCACGCACAGGATGGTTGGAAGCGAAAAACAACAGCCTGGGCATCTGTTTGAATTCAAATAGCGTGCACCCTCTTGTGGCTTATTTCTGTAGTCGGGCGGAGAAGGTGGGCTGCTTTCTGCTGTGAAACAAGCCGGGGATCAGCTCGATCTGCGAGGGATTTAAGAAAGGCCAGTGCTGCAGTGTGTCCGCTTGCATGGGGCTGTCCAGAGACACACTGTCTGTGCGAGAATTTGCATGCTCTCGATGCAGAAGGATCAAGCTTTTGTTCCGAGAGTCAACTGTATCTTGAACTTCTTATATTGTTTAGGGCTTCATTGTTCATGTTTAAGCATTATAGGTGTGCAGTAAGATTTTGTTTGTTTGTTTTTTGTGAGAGCTACTCATGCTATATTTGCTATAAATCGATTTCCTTCTTGGATGTTATTCAGAATGGTTCATTCACCTTGGAAGGACACTTAAACGCGCAGGTGACCTCTCCTGTTGCGAGGTTTGGGTTTACTGTGGCTAGCATTGGAGACGTCAATGGGGATGGATATGAGGATATTGCAGTTGGAGCCCCCCTTGAAGATCAGCTTTCCATCAGTTCCTCGTTTGGCAGCATTTACATCTTCAATGGTGATAAAGACAAGATCAAGAGCTCTTTTTCTCAAGTACGTGTCTTCTTGGGAATTACCTCCACTACCCCACGAGAGGGGAGAGCTTGTGTTTTTGTAGAAGATGCTAGGAGGAAGGACTTCCACATTTTATTTGCATTGATGGGTGAGAAATTTGCCGATGTCAGGTGGTTTATCTGACTACACAGGTTTCTGCAGCAGAGCTGCTCCTTGATTGTAATTATTCACCTGCCTGCTTAGGTCAGGGAGCTGGATTTGGGTGCTGCCTATAGAACAGCATAGCCTTTTGCAAGCCGGCCCGTCCATTATAGGAAGTTAAGAGCCAGTATTTTGCATCTCATGAGTGTTACAAAATCATCTTTACAGCAGCCTGGTGAAAAGAAGTGTATTTTCCAAACGGCAAGAGAGATATCCTGGCTTACATTTGTTGATGTTCCCTCCTCTTTTAGAGAGTAAAGGCCTCTGAAATTTCTTCAGGACTGCAGTATTTCGGTCAATCCATTGATGGTGGCTTTGATTTCACTAATGATGGTCTCCAAGATATTACAGTGGGATCACTGGAGAACGTGATTGTGCTCCGGTAGGTAATCACTGTAATTTTTTAGTGTGCTGGGGAAATGCTTCAAAGACAAAAATAGAATCTGTGTTGCAAGCACTGTGTAATGATTCTATTTTTAATTCAGCATCAGAGGGACATTAAAAAATATTTCCCAGTGCTAGAAATTATATGAAATGTAAAGCCTTTATTTCAAGTTGCAAGGGCTTTTCCCTAAAGCTTTGAACAAGTCTAAAGCTTTGAACACGTATGAGAGAGTGACCATGAACTGATCAACAGATCTAGGTCTAAGACCTTGATGTCTGCGATTCAGCACTGATAATGTAGGTCATTTAGGCAAAAAAATAATTTATTGACAGAGACCATACTTCATGTTCAATCAGGCATCTGGTAGCTGAGTGACCCGTGGAGTTCACAAAGGCTAAGACATGGCAGACGTTTGATTTTGTTCTTGCATTCTGTATTTGAAAAAAAAATTGTAGATAAAGAGAGAATTTGAACAGCTAGATAATGTGTTTATCTAATGGAAATATAAACACTGTGTTTAATTCTGAAACTCTAGCCACATTGATGTATTTTGGCTGTCTGTTCATTCAGACTCTTGGGATTTTGTATGTTCTGAATGTTCCCAGCAGAAACTGGAACTTCTGTAAATAGGCCAGCTTGGACCAGGTGAAATATCATGGAAAAACTGAGCAGTTCTTATTCTTGCTGCCAGGCTTTCTTAAAACATTTTTCCTGTAATGTTTTGGTTCAAAACTTTTATATTGGATTCTGTTCTTTATCTGTTCTTCACTGACTAGCTCAAGACCAGTTGTCCACTTTCTCGCCAGCATGAGATTCAACCCTGAGAGAATCCTAATTTTCCAAAATAACAGCATTGTCACAGCAAAACTATGTTTCGATACAATCTCAGCTTTACCAGTGTCTCAACAAGGTAATAAATGGGAATTGTGGTCAGATTGAAATCTATAGTCCTACACTGTCCTGGGAAACTTGGCACTGAGAACAACCTCTGGTACATCTAACAAAGGATTTTGAAAATCTTGCAGTGTTTTCACAGTTATACATTCTCTACACGGTGGACGTAGATGTGAAAATGGCAAAGAAGAGAGTACAGTTTGAAGATCAGAACACTACAGCAAGTGGAAAGCTGCTGGTCAGTGAGGGCATGTGCTGTGAGCTGCAGCTTTACACACTGGTAGGTGATGGTCAGACTTACTACAGCAAGAAGGGTTAAGAGGACAGGATTTTTTACCAGAATCTGCATGATTATGAGTCTTTCTTGAAGTGCAAAAATACTACAGTGGGGGGTTCTCAGTGTTAGACTTGCTGAGCACGTTTTACAGCTGAGGCAGGAGATGTGTCACGTGCCATTTTGGTTTGTATTGCTATAAATCAAACTCTCGTCCTTTTGTGTGTACGTGAAGTATTTCTAATCCTAGAATTGTAGGGGAGGCATGAAGCTTTACAAGATTAAAGCAAATGGAAGGAAACTGTCCTTCATAATGCATAACTGCATCACCAAACACGTTATCTAGTGGATGTCATGGCAGTCAGATGTATAAAATGATCTAAAAGAAACATTCGACAAGCTTATGGTCCACTGATGGCTATTAAACACAGTGGCTCAAAGAAAACGTCTGAGTCAGAAGGTTCCTAAATCTGCCAGGTGACAGAAGCTGGACCAGAGATGACGTGTGTGAAGACTTCTGCATTTTAATGCTCAGATACTTTCTCAACTTCTTGTTTTTCCTTTCTTGTAGCCGTGTGACTTTGACTGTTTTTCCAGCATTTTTCTGAGAGTTAAACACGAGCTTTATAAGGAAAATGATAACACGGAGTTTGCTGTTCCTGTGCTGGATAGATACCAGCCATCAGAAATACATTTTCAGGTAACAAAATAAAACGATAAGAGACAAAGCAAAGAGCTTTCTCTCTTTCCAGGATGCAAAGCTTTTACTATTAAAAATGTATATAAGTTGGGGTTTTCTTAGCCTTTGCATGTTGTCTTGTGCCCTCTGCTCCCTTTCTGGTTATCAGTACTGCCTTCCGAGTGGAGTTTAGGGCCAGGTTTCCCCCAAAGAGATACTTGTGAAAAGAATCTCATCTCTAAGGTCCAACCTCAGATCTGCTAAAAAATTGCTTTACTTTGTCCATGACATTTCTCCTGTGCCTCTGTGTAAAATGAAATTAGATGCTCCCTGTGAAGAAGGCAGATGGTTTGTGTGTTTTGTGAAGTATTTTTCAGATACTGGGCACTACATTGGAACTTATATTAAGACTTATAATTTGAATTATGTATTTTGTAGTTACAATTACACAATTTTCTCATGAAGTAATTTTTATAATAATGAAAATTATGTATATATATTTATATTTTATTTTAGTTGCTTGTTTCAAATTGATTTTTGGGAGGCTGCAAACGTCTAATAAAGTTAAAGGTTAAGTCTGATATCCAGTCTCCTCTCTTGCAGTTTAGTAGCAGGATTCCTAGCTCTTTTTCACAGTTAGTCTGAAATCCACATCACAGCTTCTGAGAAAATTCCACAAAGCTCTATAAAGAGGCAGCTTTTTGCTCCTTAATAGGAGTCTTTACCACAATTCAATATTTAATTAGTGTCCATAAAGCATAGAACAGAGAAGTTAGGACATTTAGCACTGAGCAATAATGAACACTAATTACTATAGTCACAGTACTCTTAGGGATGATGATGATGTTGATAGTACATTTATTTCCTAAGAATAATTAATGAGATTCTTGAGTGTTGGTCAGCATTGCTTGGTACTTATGCACCCAATATCTAATCATTAATTATCATTGAACTTCTCCAGAAAAATCAGCCACAGACAGTTGATTTTTATTGGTAAATAAAACTATTGCTAATGGAAGAAACCTCATCTCTACAAAACAGTATGCCTATAAGCAGGCACAGCATATGAACATACTTATTCAAGAAAAACATATCATCTCTGGAAAAGGAATTAAGATTACTGTCTGTGGCAATCCAGGAGTAAACAACTGGCATTTCTTTAACAAGACCTTGTCCCCAGCTGAAAACTTTTCATGTTATTGCTAACAGACCTTCTCCTGGGAGCTGAATTACAAAACATCATCAATTTAGGACTGACTTACCACTAGAGGATCTTCTATTTCCAACTTCTCCTTAACTGAGGTCACGGGAATTGTTTTTGTTTTCAGAGAATATATGTGTATATGTAAAGATATTCTGAATCTGCTACTTTAGAAAAGTTAAGACTGTTAAAATTTGACTTGATCTGTGTTTGCTTTCAGTTGCCTTACAAGAAGGACTGCAACAAGACCATCTGTACTGCTCGTTTAACTTTGACAAGTCAGATTCAGTGAGTCACAGTAGTTGTATTATCCAGATTTCACATTCAGCATTCGTAAAAAATGTCATCTTTGTGCATAAGACATTTCCTTCAAATTCTCAGACAAGATTTGCTGACCCTTTGTTTACATTACTATCTGATCCATCCTTCCCGTAACACCACACTCACGCAGTGCTGTAACTGTGTGCCTCTATGGGTGTTGCTGGGTTGTTCTAGGTAATCTCAGAGAAAAGACCAAGGTTTAAAGAACTATAGTCATCCTAAAATCACAATTCTGGCATTTAATCGTGAACATGTGATTTCGTCTTAGGCTGATGCACAGCATAGCCCTACAGCCAAAGGGTTGCGCAGTTTACGTAGCCTTAGACAAAACAGTAGGCATCACTTCATTGTAAAAACTTACCCTGGAGATTCACTGAAAAGTTAATCAAGCAAAACAATGTTTAAAATCTCTCTTGACGTACAACAGAAATGATAAAATGTTACATAAAGTTTGGAGATGACTGCCTTCAACATTAAGAAGGAAGTGTTTTCCTACACACCCTGAAAAATATTGAATAATTAATTGGGCATTATCCTGTGTGTAAAAGCATTTGGAGAGAGTAATTACCAGAACCAGAATGCTTCAGGCCTCTTATTAAATAACAACCCTTAGAAATTACATGTTGCCCATCTCATTTTTCTGTCTGCTTCCAGAAAGGAATTAGTGGTGGGCCACACTAAAAAAGTGACCATGAATGTTTCACTAACAAACAGTGGAGATGACTCGTACATGACAACCATGGTCTTGAACTATCCCAAAAACCTACATTTTAAGAAGGTGACTGTTGAGGTAAGATCCTAGAACAACTCTTCAGCTAAGCAGCAGACTGCTGAAAGAAAACGCAGCGCTGACTGCTATTCATTTACTACCTAAATAAATCTTGAAGTAAGGTCCAGGGAAGGGAAGGAGCATTTCAGTTATTAGGACCAGAGCCCGAATACTGGATTTATCTGATTTAAGACTCATAAGCTTTTATGGGTCTATTTGTACCTAATTCATTTTGTGGGAGCAGACACAGACTGAGTTGAATTTCCCAGTCTGTTTTTATTCAACATTAAAGAGCATTCCTGTTCTGTTGGCAGCCATCCTCTCCTGCTATTCACTGTGGCGAGCCAATACCATTAACTTCTCTGGTCTTAGCCTGTAACTGCAGAATTGGGCATCCAGTATTCAAGAAGACAACTGTAAGTAGAGATTGTTATTTTCACTTTTTCCCCCTACCTCTAAAGGATACTTTGAGTAGCTGCTCTTGCATCCTTTATCTGTGCAATGAGGCCAGAGCCGCTCTTCTCACTAATTCAGCTTAACGCCTGTGTGTATTTTCTAAAGGCAAGAGATTATTTTCATATTCTTGCACTTGAGTTAATGTCTAATTTCTCCAGAAAGGAATGATGAGCAGAAAATACATTAGCCATCATGTTTTAACAGTATCCTAGTGAGTTAAGGAGTATTTACACAGTAATCAATATTTTGTTATGTCTTTCTTTTCCCTCAAAATAGGCAAAATTTTCAGTGATTTGGCAATTAGGTGAAAGCATATTCCAAAATAAGTCTGCAATCACCATTAATATCACCAAGTGAGTATTGCTATTTTCACCACAAAATACACTGTGAACTAGAAAGGAAATATCAGAATTCCTGGGTGTCCACACTATTTATCAGTCACTGGTTACACAAAACTGTACTTGTTCTTTTCACCCTTTCTAAGCATTTGGACCTGTGTGAAAAATCTTTCCTTCCCTTGTGATAATTTTAGCTTTGCTCATACATCATTATTTCAGTAAAAGATGGAGCACCCTTTAAGGTCCTAATTTAAGTGTAGTACATCTTTAAAACCTTGTGTTTTCTGGAATGGAAAACAGGGTTCTGGCATCATTCTTTAGCAGAGAGAACAGATGAGTAAAATACATAGTTGAGCTCTGTTCCAGGTAAAGCTTTCACTCCAAATGATTGGGATGAGAACCTATGTTCAGGGTATTTTTCTTGATTAGGTGCTTTCTAATGGGGGGAAGTTACCATTCAGATTCCTTTCTTGTCACCTTCCTCCTGTTAAAATGTATGGGGACTGAGTAGTACACAGTGTTTTTTAAACAGAGAGCATCTTTAAAAAGGAAATGCAAACTCATCTCTGAGCACAGACTCATCTCTTAGCACAGTTGAAGACAAAGGTTTCTACTTGAATTTAAAATCCAGTTTTGTGAGGGGTAGAAGCTTTAAATTTTGATTAATGAAAGCAATACTACGTGTTCACAGATTAGCGTTAGTTTGCAGGGAAACATTTTGACACAATGGCAGCTTTCAGAATCTGTACGAATAAAGGGCTACTCCAACACTGCTGTACCATGTCACCAAACAGGCTGGCACCCCTCCTGTCATTAATTACTGCCACTCTGTTTCCATCCCTCCTGTACAGCCAATATTAGCAGTTCTCAGACCATAGAAATAAAGGACCAAGGCAGGCCAATAATAATGTTGTTTCATCCATCCTTTTGTTTTTCAAAAGCATGAATGAAAATAGCACCATTCTGGCTGAAGAACACATCCTTGATGTCAGATATGCATTCACTGCCATCCTTTCCAAGTAAGTTTTAAGAGTATTCAGTTGTATTGCATTACTTTAGTCAATTAGAGGAAAAAAGATTGAGAGGATGCCTGGTAAGATTCCAGTCCAATTTCCATCTTAATAATTCCAAGGACTGCAGATTGTCAAGTCACTTTCTGTGGTACTAGACAGCAAAAGCAGAGTCTGGAAGACAGAACAATAAAATCATATTGTAGGCAGGGGGTAACTAAAGTCTCCAACTGCTTAGCTTGTAAAAAGCGGACTTCAAGATAGGTTCAAAGATGCATCCAATTGGCAGACTGCTTATACACGCACTTATATAGACAGACTGCATGGACAGCATTCCAGTTCTAACAAATTTGATGATGCTACCTCTTAATTACTTAATGCATCTGTGTCATTGGATGTGCTGATTTTTAACAATAATCTAATTCACTTTTCACTTAGTTTGATTTATCGTTCTCTTTAGACCAGTTTCTTTAATGTATGTGAATGTTAGCGAAGGACTTCTTGAAAACAAAGAATTCAAATTTAATGTAAGTATAGCTTCAAATTTAGGTCATCTGATCCATCTGCAATCATGATTAAAGAACACTTATTATCTTGTGCATTCTCTTCTGTAGATAAATGGAGAAAATCCCTTTAATGCTACTATCAAGTTACAGATTTGGGTTCCTGTCAGTATACAAGGTCACAACATAATAACGATCAAAAATGCATCTGGAATACAGGTACGTTTTCTTATTTTTTTCCTCATCCAATATCTCTCTACTGATCCTCACAAAGGAAAAGAAAAATCATGTTATTGCAGATTAGAGTGTTTTTAAAACCTACACTACAGAAACTTCACGTATTTACATTTTATAGCAGCATTCCAGGTACAAATTTTGCCAAACTGAACAAAAGTTTATTTTTAAAATTAAGTCAAAAGGTGGGCTTCCCTCCCCTCCCGCCCCCATCTGGGCTAACAATGTTTACTTCTGTCCTCACTGTCCAGAATTTTTTTTTTCTTTGAAAAAAGAATTTGTAAGAAAGACAATATAGTAAGGAAATAACTTTTAATAATCTAAGACTAAAAAGGTAAGAAAACCTCTGTGGAATTCAAAACATTAATTGAGGCCAAAGAAGTTTGTGTGTGTCCGTCCCAATGTCAACTCTGGTCTCTCCCCCTCCAATCACCCCTCAAAAAAAGTACATATGGAAACATCTTAAAGGAGAAGACTTTTTCCAGTTTTTTTAGACTTTTTTTTGACAGCATATTACACACATCAGTCACCGATCATAACACTTCTTCATTGTGCCAACATTTAAATCATACATTAAAAACAGCAAAGGAGAAAGGGAGTATGAGGGACTTAGTTCTTGCAAACATTCCGCTCCCTTGCTCACTGGAAGAGGCTGCTGCTCTGCAAAACTTCCTGGGCAGACCCAAAGCTCAGTACTTCTTTGTGGAACTTACTCAGCTGCTTCTTTATTTTCCTCATGGCAGAAGTTGATTCCTTTGTCTTGTAGCCCATGTCTTTCAAAAGTTTATCTGACAAGTAGTGCAGCCAGAGGACGTTGCTGTGTGGATGGTAGTCAGTCCAGCTGTTGGAGTTCTCCGCTTTCATTTGTCTGTAGATGTCAAACTGGTAGTCCCCTGTGCCTTGAAACAGTTCCTCATCAGTGGAAAGGTCACAAAACACAGTTAACCCGTCCTTCTCCAGCCGTGACAAGGTATAATCGATGATGTTGACGTGAATCCCTGCTGTGGGGATTGTGTGCGTTGCCCCGTTCAACACGTAATTAAGCTCCTTTACATCCGTTTTCTTTACCAGCACGTTCCCCCAGTGCAGGTCCCTGTGCTCGAAGTGCAGTTCCTGTTCTGCCACAGCCAGGGAAGCAGTGACCTGGTGCAAAATGCTTTTTGCTGACGCCACTGAACTGAACCTGTTTCTCATATGCTCCAAGTCACTGCCTCCAAATTCAAACTCCAGAACCATGAAGAGCTGCTCGTCCCCAAAAAGGTCAGGCCGATCGTTTTCTGATCCTGTTACTTCATGGTATTCGTCCCAGGCTTGCAGGAGATACTTAGGATAGGCCCCCTGAACACAGTGTACAGAGTACAAGCTGATGAACCCAACAGTCCTATTCACAGACTCTTCAGACAGAAGACTGAGTTCTTTGGAAATTATTATCTCGGGCAGAATCTCCCCAAAGCTCTTTTGAGCTTCACCGTTTACTCTTTCAGTCCCCTCAATGGGAATTATTTTTAAGGCCACAGGTCCTCTCTCACTGTCAATCTGGAAGACCTCTCCGAACACCCCTTCTCCAATTTTCTTGCACTCTTTCATCTTGTCTAAAGGAATGCATTCCTCAAAAGCGATAGGGCCCTCCTGGTGGCATTCCCCAAACACCTTCTCTGCATCTGTAAGCATTAGCTCCAGGACAGAGCAGGAATTCCTGGGCGCCAGCAGGACCATGGAGGAAGCAGACCAAGTGCAGCACTGAGCCGTACCAGCAGATGGGGTTGCTTGGTACCCCGAAAGCTGGGATTTCGCAGAAGGGGTACAAAGGATGCAGGAGCTGTCTCCCGTGGTAACTTTCTTCCTCTTATGGAAGGACAAAGATGCTCGGACTCTGCCCCAGGAAAGGGAGCTGTTGAGGAGTGAATAGTCATTGTCTCTTACATCTACAGACACCTCCAGAACATCCTTCTTCATTCCTTTTTGCCTCAGCTGTGGTCTGAAAAAGGAGTTATTGGGCTGCTGCTGTCTCTTGTTCTTGTGCCTTTTTGGACGGAGCCTTGTTTGCCTCCCCCACCGGCTGGCACTGAAGCCGCTGATGCAAGCTTTCCGACAGGCACTTCCCTCCCCAGAAACAACCTTCGTACTTTTGTGTTTATTCTCCAAGATTCCTTGAAAACTCAACGGAGATACTGGCTGCTGGCAGGCAGGTTGGGTATCGGCCTTTTTGTTGCGTTTCACGCTCATCAGCCACACTGGCACTTCTTGAGGGTCCAAGACCACCACCGGTGTAAGCTGGTACTTGCTGGCTTTGCCTCTCTGATAAGGCAAGCTTCCTTTCGTCAACTCTCTGCTGAGATCATCACACGGCTCATCAGACGTGGCACCGTCATACGGTGCAGGGTGCTCACCGCCAACGGGAGCTGCCTGATGAGTCGTCGTGCCTTTCGGTGGCGACGAGGGAGCTTGCGGGCGGCAGCTTCCCCGCACCGACGCCCTCAGAACCCTGCCAGACTTCTGCAACACCGGGCCCGGCTCCCGGCTCCC